CACATCTTTCCAGAATTGTTTTGTTCTAGGCAGTACCAGCTTAGTGAGGGTACTGTATTAATATTGATTAAAATTTTAGACTTAAGTAATCATTTTGGAGACAGATGTGGATATTTAGTAACACAGAAAACATACAGACCAAAGAAAAGGGATTTCCTTGTTGTGCCAAACTTAAGGGATATAAAGTTTGATGGTATACTTGTGTTATGAGAAGAAAGGCTGTAATAATTATCATCACTCTTTTACGATAGCTCAAGGTTAAATATTTGCTGTTGACTTTAAAATTTTTATAAGTGTTACCTTTTCTTCTGAGTGATGCAATTTTTTTTTAACTTCTCCACTGTATCCACCAGGAATTAGTATAAGGAAGAAATTGGAGTTATATTTTCAGCTTACTTGCATTTTATTTCAGCACTGGGAAATGTTTTAGTGCTTTGTAGTGAGATAAGCATGAGAAAGAGAAGGAAAAAGGCATAATAGTTTGGTTGTATATATGAGTAAACATTTTAATATGTATTGTGTTCATTTACCAAGCATGGCACTTAGCCTCTGTAAAGCTCACTGTGGTATATAAGCTTGATACTCTGTGTTCACCATATATCAGCACTTCCAAACTTGCCCAAACTGTGCAGTGCCAGTCTCTATCCCAGAGGAACTTCACAGACATCTTTATTAATACTCATAAATGATTTACATGATCACTGAAGTTTATGCTATATATGGGCTGGAGCAATAGCACAGCGTGTAGGATGTTTGCCTTGCATGCGGCCGACTGGGTTTAATTCCTTCGTCCCTCTCGGAGAGCCTGGCAAGCTATCAAGAGTATCCTGCCCGCATGGCAGAGCCTGGCAAGCTACCGTGGTGTATTCAATATGCCAAAAACAGTAACAAGTCTCACTATGGGGACGTTACTGGTGCCCGCTCGAACAATGGGAGGACAGCGCTACATTGGACAGTGCTATGCTATGTATATGCCATATTGCTGTGTTACATCACACAATGATTTCATTGATAGCATTTCCTTTAGGCTGGTGGTAAGGTGTTTCTAATCCTAAAACTGCAAGTGACCAATTAATGGAGTTTAAAATTAACAATTGACGATGAAGCTGCTGGTGGATGGGATGAGAGCTTTGTCAAATCTGGGGTCAGAGCTTTATCAAATCTCCCAAGTGTTAACTGTCAAACAAAATTATTTAATAACTGTCTTTTTCTCCCGCTACAAGTTTATGTTGCTTTATATACAAGCACCAAGGCCTCGGGTTTTCTATGATTGTAGCACTGTAGCACCATCCTCCCATTGCTCAATGATTTGTTCAAGCAGGCACCAGTGACCTCTCACAACAAATTTTGAGACTTGTTACTGTTTTTGATATGATTACCCTATTATAAATACATATTTTTGATAAGTGAATTTTAGCTTCATATGGTATTAAGTTTCATATGATATTGTGTGAATACAATAGTTTCATACTGTATTGTATTTATTCATATTTATAAAGGGGTCATGGTGATAAGTCAAAGGATTGGGTTGCACACTTTGCGTGTGGGAGCCCTAGATTTAACACCTGACACTGTGTACTCCCCCAAGCACCACCAGTAGCAATCACTCAGCATCTACGAAGGAGTAATTCCACATATATGCTAAGTCCACATACAATTTTAAGGTTAACAGTTTATTATGCATTGTATGTTATGTGATGTTCAATGGTGCCTCTTATGCTCCAATAGAAACTGTTAGCTCTGAATGGTCAGGATTCTTGAGAATGGACTGCTTGACATTTGGAACATGAAGAGGGAATCCATAGGTGGAATGACTCTAAAATTGTATTCCTTAGAACAATGGGCTTCAACTGACCTTTGCAGATATAAAAAGGTTGAAAACCTCTACTGTTGAGTTTTGACTATAACTTGAGGCATAATTAGTGCTTATAGTCAGGTAGAAACTATACAGAGGATTTATACACATTTTCTGGTTAAATAGAAAAACTTTCAGGCAGGAATTATTGTTTCCATTTTACAAATATGGTCTTTTATTCTTATTGACACTAACAATTGCAATGGTGTTAAGACCAACTTTCGTGAAAGAAAAAAGTGCTTTCTAATTGGACAGAACATATTTCCTGATTTGGCTATTTGCAAATATTGTCCAAGTGTACATAGCGATTAATAATTATGTAATTACCTTGTGTTCTGATTTTATTTCTTTGAGGAAATTCTTGTGTTTAAAGGAATTTGTTTTCTCAATCATCCTCGTTATCACATAATGACAACATGCAAGTAACTCTCACATTTAAAAAAAATATTTTTCCTCTGTGGGTACACCCAGTTGTTCCAATTGTCTTTTACTGAGACTATTGCAATAGAGAAATTTGTGTATGCAGCACAGTTTTTTTTTCTTTTTTAATTTTCTTGGAAAAAGTACTATATGATTAAAAGTAAAGAACTTTTTCAACTAATTTATCTGTAGAATTACTTTTATAGGAGTAAATAGGAGGTATTAAGAATGAAAAAATTATATTAAATATGGACCCTTTTTAACACTTTAAAAAGATATAACTTCAATTAATGTATATTGAAGTTTATTATGCTTTTGTGGCCACGCCTACTGGTGCTCACAGGATCATGTGCTATCAGAAATGGAACCTTTGCACACAAAGGCAAAGCTGTATGCAAAACTGGCTCTTCAATCCTTTGATTCATATCCCTAGTCCCAGTGTAGCACTGTCCTCCCATTGTTTTGCTCCATCGGCCACCAGTAATGTTTCCCTTGTGAGACTTGTTGTTACTGTTTTTGGGATATTAAATACGCCATGGTAGATTGCCAGGCTCTGCTGTGCGGACGGGAAACTCTTGGTAGCTTGCTGGGCTCTCTGAGAGGGATGGAAGAATCGAACCTGGGTCAGCCACATGTAAGGCAAACGCCCTACCTACTGTCCTATTACTCCAGCCCAGCCCCAGTGTATGTGTTTATAATATTTGACCACTGACATAAGACCTGAGAGTAGTATATTGTTTCATTATTTAATTTTAGAAGAAGATTAATTGGGCTTTGAAGAGATTGGTGTGAGCAACAAAAACGTTCATTCTTCATCTCAATCTGTATTTTTAGAGAAATCACATCTAAGAAGATTTTGTCCTTTACATTGTGCTCAATGCACTCTCATCCTCAAACATCCTGACTTCTTTATTTCTTGACTCTTATGGAATCTGATTCATTCCTTAATATTAGTTCAGGACAAGAAATGAAGGATAAAGAATTTTTGCTTCCAGATATGTCTGAAAACTTTTTGAAAAATTTGAACTCCTGAAATAATGTTTTCTTCTTTCACCTTGTTTTAAGAAACTCCTTTATCTTCCTAGAATGGAAGTATCTTGCTGCGTAGTTTTGGGGATCCCTAAATCATCTCCCTATTTTATTTATTTGAAATTCTTTGCAATAACATTTCTCTTTCCTCAAAATAGCTAAATAATTCAAATACATGGACTTTGGAATCTCTATTATAGGAATATGACTCTATCTCTTATTCGATTGTCTATTGTTCTTTTTTAAATTATCCAGTGCAAACTGTTTAACTATATCAGTGCTTAAATATTTTTTTGTGTGTGCTTTTTGGGACGCACCCAGTGATGCACAGGGATTACTCCTGGCTCATGCACTCAGAAATTACTCCTGGCGGTACATGGGGGACCATATGGGATGCTGGGAATAGAACTCAGGTCGAAAATGTGCAAGACAAATGCCCAACCTGCTGTGTTATCACTCCGGGCCCCAATGCTTAAACATTTATATGTGAAAATAATCCTCAATAATTATTACATCAATTCAATAACTTATCATGCAGATCATGTATTTACTTATCAACGAAATGTTTTGCCTTCCAAAATATTGGTAAATCCAGAAAGTACAGGGGTTAAAGTGCTTGCTTTGCACACAGCCAATCCTGGTTTGAATCCTGGCATGGCATGTGGTCCCCCAAATATCACCAGAAGTGATTTCTGAGCACCGAGCCAGGAGTAATTCCTAAGTGCAGCCTCCAAATGAACAAAGCATATATTGTTATATAGTCTTGTGGTAACATTAGTATTATGTGTTAAGTAATATGTATTTAATTTTAATGATTCTTTATGCATATGTATCTACCTATAGGTCAACTGATGAATAGATAGATTGAAAATTCTATATGATTTTAATTGACTTTAAAATGCATTTTTGTTGACTGAGCTTTAGAAGGGAAACTTTGCACTAATCTATAAAGATATCTGCCTCTCAATTCAAAGACATATAACTTAATTTTAGCTGAGATGTCCAAATTAATTATACCATATAATTATGACTTGAACTGGTAAGTGAGGAAAATCCTGGAACCTAAATAGTATTCTTATTGATGAAGAAAAGGGATGACTGCAGATAACTGCATAATGTCATATTATTGTTTTCATGGATTGACTTAAGGCTACTTAGCTATAAAGCAGGTTTTTCCGGGTATCTACCCCTAATAATTACCAAAGTAGCACAGAGGTGAAAAAAAATTAAAAGGCATCTAAAATAAGAGCAATGTAAGATTTAAAAAAATTCTCATTAAATGTATCATAATTTATATTTCTAACATTGGTATCAAAGTGCTTCCTATTGCAACTTTGCACGTACCCTACTATTGGAACTCAAAACCCCAGGAAGTACATGTCTGAGATCTGAATGTATTCTTGGTCTCAAATCAATCTTGTCACTCCTCGGAAAGCAATGCAAGATAATAAGTAGTATTCACCTGATTGCTTTCCTGCCCCGAGACAGCTGGTGACGTGTGTCTTCCTGATAACCAGGAGTTTTCAGATCTAAGGCAAGGATAAAGGAAAGCTGGGAGCTTGCAGAATCTAAAATTGACAGTCAGTGGCTGAGGAGAGGGTCAGAAGGGGTAGAATCTGTGACACATATGGGAAAAGAACAAAATTTATCTGCTCTGGTTGCAATGATTAGATGTCTTTGTCTGGTTTTCTTACAGCGTTGACTGATTGTACTCACCAGCTGGCTAATATCATAATTAACAAAGTTGCTACTATGTCTGCAAAGTTTAATCGAATAATTTTCCAGTGATATGATGACATTGTCACAAAGATCACAAGGGACACAGAGTCGACTTTTGCTTAAGGTGGAAAGGCAAAGCTGTGTAGTCAAGATGAGAAACGGTGAACTTACTCAGCTAAAGGTATGTTTCTTTTGTAATACCACGTCCTGAGCTTTCTTGTTCATATTTTTGTTTAATTGTTTGAGAATTCTATTTTGTTTTATGACTGATATCGTGTTCATAGGAAGATACTGTTATGTGAATCTTTATAGTTCTTGGGCATTTATAACTTACTTTCCGAAAGCTTCAGTATTTCCCCCAAAATCTAAAATTTCGTATGTATTAAAATTGGTATAGAAAGCTATGTTTTGTTAGCCAAACTTTATCATTGTCAGAATAACTATTTGGTAACAAAGATCAACTGAACATTTATATTGTTTAGCATTAGACTTATTTTGATCAACTATGTAAAAGTCATTACTGTTTCATTTGATTGTATCAATCTAGTTATAGGAATTGGAAATGAAAACATGCTTGTTTATAGAATCTGTTCCAGTCCTATTTTAGTTTTTTAAAATGCTTTAATTGGGGGCATGGTGAATAGAGATCTTGATTTTACTCAAATATAAAAATTATGTTTTTTAAAAAATATTTAAAAATTCTTGAATTTATGAATTCAATGTCAGCCTGAATATTTAAATTGTACCTGTATTTTCTTTTATTCTGATTTACTTTGCTTGATTAAATATTAAGGCTCAAGGGAATTGCCCAAATTATAGTCTTCACTTATTGCTAATTAATGAACGTGAATATTGATGAAGAAGGGCATGCATCTCTGTGTAGTCACTTGTGTGTTTCTTCTGCGTGCAAAGAGAGGAAGAAAATACAGAAGGCAAAGTTTGGTTTATTTATGCTGTGTCACACTACCACTATAAAGCCAAGATTGATTAATCTGCAGTATAATCAGGGACATACTTTAGGGTTTTGTTTTTACTTTTCCTCTGTGGTCATCCAGGCCACTCTTTCACGGCCAAAAAAAAGTTACCATTACCCATTATTATTTGTCTTTTATTTAAATAGCATTTTGAACATCATAAAATAAGTTTTGGAAACAGATTAATGCACATTTAATCCCATTTAAACTCTCTCATGGTTTTATTTCTAACCACAGGAGATTTGTCAGAATATAATCATTTTAAAATTTGAAAATTTTATGTTCTCAGATTTGAAAAAATGAGCCATATTACAGGATCACAAATTTGAAAATATTTTACTGTGAAGATTTAAAAACAAACTAATTTTGTTGAATTTTGGTTAAAATTTGATTTAACCCATTTGTTTCACTTAAACTTAATGGCTTTGATAAGAAAGACCATATGTAAGTGGTAGTTTCAACCATTATTTTAATATATTTTTACATTATATTTTAGAACAGTTACTCTTATGAGATTTTTTAAAAAATTTCATTTTGCATCACACTCTTACTAGAACTGGGCATGTAATCGGTACTTAATCCATATTTATCAAGTAAATAAGTTTAGATCTTCCTCCTGTTATTCAAGTATAGTTTGTATATTACTCAAAATAGTAACTTTTGTATGTAACAATCATAATGTACAGATATTAGTAGAAGAGTTGCATAATCACAGACAATGGAGGAGGGGATTAAGTTCCTAAAATAATGTAATGTTGTTTTAACCTAAATCTCCATGATATTTTGTGTAATTGAGATGTGCTATTCTAAGAACTCAGTTGGGGTATCAGAGGTGTGTGAAGATTAGAAAAGGCCAGAGAAGTGGTTTACAGCTGATACACTCTTTTTAAAACAGGATTATCTCCAGAGATGTGTAGAAATGAACTCTTGTCAGAGTTTCAAAGGAACTAATATTTTTTTTTGGTTAAATGTGCTAATGTAAAGAGTTAGAAGATTAGTGAGGCATAATGAAAGCAATGCATTCTTTCACATGGAAATAGGAATATAATAAATGTCCTGCAGGTGATTGGGGCCGTAGCAATTTTATTGAAGATTAAAGTTTGATTGACCTTTGTTAGGGTGATTAACCCTTCTGAAATTAAAAGCCAGGACTGAATTATTCTGGCCAATTTAAATGCAAACATTGAGCAGGTCATATGTCATTCACATAATAATAGTTTAAAAACCGTCCTATTTTAATTTTTATTTTTGCACGTCTGAATGGGATGCTGCTTTGGAAGGCTCACAGCTTTAGCAACAGCAGTTTGTGGCAGAGAATACAGATAATGTATAGGTAATTGGAAGCATGTGGGGAGAGTTCCAGGAATCACTCCTCTCATTCAGAGCATCAAAACACCCACTCCAATAAAAGCAGTGGACTAGAGACTATCTCCTTACACTGACAATGTGTGCTTTCCAAAGGAAATAACCTAGGCATATTAGAAAAAGCTTCAGAATAAATAACAGTGACATCTTTAGTTAAATCCAGTGCTAACCACCCAAGATGAATACTAAACCCCTATTAATATATGTGCTGTCTCCTGAAAATGCTATGTTTGGAGATATGATTAGTTGCAAAGCGCTTCATAAAAGTTGATTCTTTCCAGTGTTTGGAATCTTATTCCCAGTGATTTGATAGTCTGTGATTATATTCAGTATTTGCGCTAACTTAAAAATGTTATATGAAGAGCAAACTCTCAATACCTATGAAGTCACTTAAATGGATAGTCTTATTTTTCTTAAAATTTTTGCAATCTTTTGTGAAAAGTTTCATATTTAGCTGACTGGAAAGAAGCTGTTTCCATATTTCAGATCATATTAAATTTTTTCATTACTGAGTCAGTGAATATTTTTAGTTTTAGTTTCAACCTCATAGTGCATGCTTCTTCCTTTTATGTGCTTACATACTATTAAAACGATAATAAAGGTTCTCCTCATTCCATGTGTAATTTATTTCTCTTTCTTTTCATCAAATAATTCATCAAAGAATTCTGAATTTGCCAAGGTAGAAAAGTCCAATGTATTATAGTGTAAAAATTAAGAAGCCCAAGGTGCTAAAGTTCATTTTGCATGAGCTTTTCATGTACTCTTTTAACATGCTTCTGAAAGTGAGGCTTCTATTCTGGGCCTAAGAAGAAAGTCAAATATAAAAAAACTTGTGATAAAGTGACTATGATTATTCGGCTTCCAAAGTGACTCTGATATTCTCCAGAGATCTGGATAATACCTTGCAGCATAGAATAATAGTATGTTTAATTAAGATCTGTTTGCTACAAGGATATCCCAACTCTTAATATATGTGGGACTAGTAGTCAACCATAAATTTTAAACAAATATATTATTCTGTACCTTTCCTGATAAAATGTAGATCATCAGCTTTACCATGGTACATTGGATCAAACTAAAACCAAGTTCAGTTGTTCCATGATAATACTTGTTTTCTGATTATAGACAATTTTCCTGAGAAAATAAACACAAGTAAATTAAATCCCTAAAATAAACACTATTAATTATTCAGATATAATTCAGCAATTTTCTCTAAGTTGATTATTCTCATTTTACCTCTTACCAGAACAAAGTTGTTGTTGTTTTGTATTAAGATGTATTGTAAATACAGTATTTCCTAAATAGAAAATGCTTGTGTGTGAAACTACTGAGCATCTTTCTCTATATTGTTATTAATTATCAGAAAATTTTTGCACTAAAAAATTCTGACTCAAAGAGAAATTTATTTTGTCTTAGAAAAGAGAATTGGTGAAAGAGCGCAAGCAAATGAGATTATATTTATATTTTCAAGCATGTGTTTTGCTTCAGTGTGCTTAGAAGACATTGTTACTTCTTTGTTGCTTTGTTTCTGCCAGTTTGTTCCTTTCTAATCCATTTGTTCCCAAGTTGGACATTTTCTCTTATAGTTGTGAAATACCATTCTTTGCTATTAGCATGTGGAAAGGAATCTGTTTGAAATGTTCATAGCCCACATGTTTTTAGTGGTTACTTTTTTTTCTAAAAAGTGACCAGTGGTGTCCTTTTATTCATTGCCTATTAGTTATATATCCACAGTCTAATTTGATTCTTCAAAAATTCTGAGTAACCTTGCATGAGCTATTTTATTGTGCAGGGTTATAAAAGAGAGATCATGCGGCAAACTCAAGCACTTACTTTTCAGGGATTTAAAATCAACAATAGTCAAAAAGTTGTATGGAGGGATTTTTTAAGTCATTCTACTTAACAAGCAGTCTTTCTAGAATAAAAGAGTTTGGTTGATAATAGCTAAGTCAATTATTTAGTATAATTTGGTAAAATGATAAAAGTACATGGAGGCATAAAGGCTCCGATGTTAACTCCATAGTTAATTGAGTTACTTCTCTAGCATTAGATGGAGAATAAGAAGCAAATTGAAATTTGCCTAATTTATAGTGACCTCTTGATATATTCCAGGGTATTCTTTTAAAATCATCACACCCTGTGTACAAATTTCTTAGGAATCTAGAGAATTCCTTACTAAGATGACCTTGATTAAAAACTCCTTTTGCATACTTACTGGGCAGGGTATATAGCGTGATCACAAAAGTGGTTTTCCCAGGGCGAGGCTTATCTATCCATTGCACTCTGGATGTGCTGACTTCTGTGATTTTCCCAAATGGGGGAAATCTCGACTGCCTGATTTGTGGTAGTAGGGGACTCCATTTGCACTCTGAAAAAATAAAATAAAATAAACAATCTTCTTTTGCATTAATATTACCGGAATTCTTTATTCAGTTTCAACAGAATTTTACTGAGCACTTCCTACATTCCAGATACTCTTTACGAGGTGAGTCTTTGCAGTCACCTTTTAGGAACCAGAAATTAGGATTAAAGGAAGAGTCTGAATAACTCATGTCAAGAAATTGGTGAGGGGCACAGGCTGAGTAGGACGCCATGTTCAAGACCTTCCTTGGTAGAGCTTTTTTCGATATATCTGTTTCACACATATTTGTTAAAATTTATTGACTAAATACAAGAATTTTTAGTGGATTATAAATACTACCTCCAAAGAGATTTTCTAAAATTCAGGAACTCAGAAGGAAAAATTATTTTCGGATTCTCCTCCCAGGAAGTGGAAGAAGTGATTTAGAATACCAAGACTACCAGCCAGAAACATAGTACAGGGAATAAGGAGTTCTGGCTGTTTTACAACTAGCCCCATTCTAGTTGAGCACTGTGTTTGCTCCCCGAAGCACCGTTGGGAATGATTTCTGAGCCAGGAGTAAGTTGCACATACAGCCCAACCCTTTCAGAACAACAAAGAGAACAGATGATTTATTTCTGGGCACACTGGTGGAATAAACTTCTTTCTTTTAGTGGCAAGTTTGTGAGCCCGCAAAATTGTCTTGTCCAGATATTCATATCCCAGATTAGTTTCCCTGTTCATTGAAAGCCTGTCATTAGAGACAAGGAGTGGGACTGTGGTCAGGGGCATGTTCATCCCTCATCCAACTGGGTTCTAGTCCCAGCACCACATGGGTCACAGGCATTGCAACTGGCCACTAGGTGCCCAGGTAATCCCGTGCACCACACGTCCCTGCCCCCAACTTACACCCTAACCACCTGGTCGCCTCCTTTCCTCACACTCACCCCATCATAAAGAAAAAAAAGGCGGGGGGGGGGGGGGAGGAAGTGAGTCTTTTAAATTTTGACTTTACTTTTTTTTTTTCTGTTTAAAGACAGAGGTGCTTCTCTCCAGCTCATACATTTTCATTGGTTTAGTACTTTGTCAAGGCTTTTATTAATGTTCCTCTATGTTTCATGGTTCTAATCTTGAAACTGCATAGAGCATAAAGTCTGGTGGATTTTTGTTTTACAGGGAATTCTCAAAAAAAATTTTTTTTAATTTTATTGAATTACCGTGAGAAAGTTACAAGCTTTCATGTTTGGCTTACAATCACACAATGATCAAACACCCATCCCTCCACCAGTGTATATTCCCCACCACCAATCTCCCCGGTATACCCCCTCTTCCACCCTCCCCCTGCCTCCATTCTCTCTCTCTACTTTTGGGCATTATTGTTTGCAAAATGGACACTGAGAGGTCATCATGTTTGGTCCATTATCTACTTTCGTGGGGTGGGGGTCATGAACAGGGCATTTACCTTGCATAAGGCCTACCCAGGTTTGATCCATGACACCCTGTATGGTCCCCCTGAGCCTTGCCAGGAGTAAGCCGTGAATATAGAGTAGGAATAAGTTCTGAGCACCAGTGGGTGTGGCACAAAATAAAAAAAAAGAATATGTGGAGAAAATATTTTTGATAAGTATATAAAAATAAAAGCACAATTTAAATGGGATAACTACAATATGAGGGGAAAAAAACATTATCTTACCTGGCAAGCAATTTGTTATCCTTTCTCAATTTATTAAAACAAAACGTTAGCATTGGTTAAGTAAACTGCAAAATTAGCCTACGAGGTTTCAAAGATTTGGAATTGATAACTAGATTTGTACTTGAATGCTTGGTTTATCATTGGAAAGCTGGTTTTTTAGGTCTGTAAGCTCTCTGAGTATGGTTCAGAGAAGTGTGCTAGGTCTACATCTATTTCAGTATCTATCCACAGGACATAGAAGAGTGACTGATACGTGATAAATAATGAAAGCATGTTTGCAAATTGAAAGTGACTATTATGCTTCCACAAAATAAATTTAGAGACGTTGTACTCAATCTTACTTTGAAAGAACTTGCACTTGTACTAAGAAATAAATGAAGACTTTAAAATCTAAAGGGGAAAGGAGTAGGTAAGAGTAGGCAAAATAAATATTCACTAGATAGCTAATTAGATAAATAGATAGAATGTTCTTTAAAATTAGCCTAACATGGTTAACAAAGTTGCAGAGTCGAAGTGTGCTTTGTACAGAGAATTAGCCTATTCTTTTAGGTTTTAATTTTAAATGGTTTTATCTCCTCCACTTTTAATCATTCAATCACGAGTTGGTCACTTATTATTTACCAAGAGCTAAACAGGGTTTTCTGAACTGTTTAATATATTGAGTAAAAATGCATAGATCAGTTTTATATTTGTTGAAAAATAATTCCTAATAATCATCTTGAAAATTAATAAAAACTCAACTAAGGGGCACTGCATTGAGTTGGAGAAACTTAGGAGTGTAGATAGGAAAATAGGGAATACTGCTCTAACTCTAACTACAAATCAGTTTATACTTCAGCAGAGAAAATTAAAGTTTGTAATAAAATAAGATATAGAAGAGCATCTTCCCTCAAAGATGCTAGGCATGATGGAAGGGTGCATTTGACCAACATCTCTTCTAATTATATAATACTTGAGAATTCATTAACCATTTGAGTCCTGCGTGATGATGATTAAACCCTTAGGCAGATGTGAATCAACTACACTATGTGGAAACATTGAGGAAAACATTTATGAAAAATATGATCCAATTTCTGAAAATACAGACCAATTACAGTTTGAGATTTAATTTAGGAATTTTTACTCTGTCTGCATGATGTATATATTAATGATGATTTCTCTCCCTTCATTCTTCATCTTCACAAGCAAAAGGAGATTTTTACTTATTGACGTATTACTGAAGAATCTAGTTTTTCTACAAAATTACACATTTTTTTGCATAAATGTGCCTAATTACCTGAATTCAGTTTTGATTAGCAGTGTTAATTGATGCAGCTGTGGATGGTATCTGTTTACCTAAATTACCATGTGCAAACAGCAATATGTCTGGAAGTGAATATGCTAAACTGAAAATACTAATTAGCTAAGACAGATTGTTATTCAAGTCACATCGTGGAGCTTTCTAATGAAAGCCTGGATGTGTCAGGGTTTTATGATATTCAGACAGAAATGTCTATATTACATATGATTTCTAAATTTAATTCATAAGAACAGATGGGATGTCAGCCAGGGTTCTTCTGCTTTATTCCAGTATTAATGTGAATATTTTACTCAACTAGAGAGAAATTTATGAGGTTCTTTTGGTAAGAATCAGATGCTTTGGCAATGTGCTAGCTCTGCACATCTAGATTCATCTATTTCTTGACCAATATATTCCCAGATTATCGCCACCTACTACTATACAGAAAATGAAAATAAATAAACCACCTTGCAGGTTTAATCACATCAGCTGGGTAATTTAATGAAATCAAATAGGAAAAAGGTTAGATAAATAGACAGCTTATTCTGAATCGTATTTTCTGGGTGTTTTCCATTTGCATCCCAAGTAAATATAATGAAAGTTCAGTCATAGATTTCTTAAGAATCAGTGAGAGATTCACAGGGCTGAAAGGAGAGTTAGCATTGCCTTCAGCTTGTCTTGTGTCTTTAATCTTTTAAAGATTGAGAGCCGAGGACTGTTATTTTCAAAAGGACTCCGTTTTTTGGGTTGGGGGTGGGGGCTAAGTATCTCCCAAGCAATGCTCAGGAAGCCCTGGGGGCCATTCCCTAGTGATACTCAAAACTTATCAGTGGTGCCAGGGCTCCCGTGTGGTACTGGAAATAACATATTTTGAGCATACCAGTCATCTGAACTATCTCCCTGACCCTCAAGTGCCTAGATCTTAAATACTGTAGTATTTTCTTTGATTTTCATTACATTTATTCTAGCTATGACCTGCTTTGCTGAGGATGTCTCTTCCACATAAAACATTAATCTTAGCCATCCGTTGTGGTGTAGTACTGAACATTTATTAATGACAATGTATCTTAGAGATAGCTAAATCTAACAGTAAAACCCTACACATCTTGTAGTGGAAAAAATAATGGACCCATCGCTCCTTTCCCAAGAGACTGAATAACTATGCTTAGTGCATAATAACTCTCTTCTTCCCAACGGCTATGAAAATAAGGCCTCTTGACTCAAACTTAAGAGTTTAAGATCCCTTATTAGATATTTAAGATGCCATGAGCAAAATGGGGATAATTTTCATGATGCAAATTTGAACATAATTATAGTTTGGAATATTTAATCTAGGTTTAAGTGTGAATTATAATTACCAAAAATTGAATTATTTTAATTATGCTAATTTCTTTCCCCAAAGTTTTGTGTAATTTGGGTTATCTAAGAAATATTTGGATGCAGCAAAATTACAATGAAATTTAATACTAAAAGTAAGTTATTTGTGTAAGTGCACTGTTATACTTACATCTTTGCTACAAAAATGTTAAAATGCTGTTTTATTACCCAGGAAAACACAGATTGTTAAAATAGCTTATATCAAAATGGAAAAAAAGAATATTAATTACTGTGTGGAATATTTACATTCCATTTTCATATCAATAAAAATTTTAGCATATTTTTGTTACTTATATCTCATCAATGAAGTTAATCACAATGTTCCAAAAATAAGGTTCATGTATTAAAGTAATGACTATTTAATAGGACATTTTGAATGTCACCTTAAAACTTGTATTGTCTTTGAAAGCATTTATCCATACTTACTGGGGGACCAGAAAGATAGTATAGTGGATAGGGCATCTGCCTCACATATGGCTGACCTGGGTTTGATCCTTAGCATCCCATATGGTCTCCTAAGTAGTGCCAAGAAATTCCTGAATGCAGAACTCCTGAATAACACTGAGTGTGGCTAGAAATTATTTTAAAATTTCTTAATTCTCAGAATTTCTTTATTCTTGAAAGCTTGAAGAGTTTTGTTTCTTCATGACTAAAGGTAGTTGTCATTGTCGTATGTCATCTC